TTTTTTTTTGCAAGGGTGGTGGGATGGGATGTAGCGCGCTGGACGGTGGTGCGGAATCTGGATGGCGTGGCTGCACGAGGCGCGCCGGACGGGGTGTGTGCCTGGGTGCTCCACCCGTTCTGATGGTCGCGGGGCAGGAACAGGGAGCGGTGGGAGACGGCGAGGGTGGGCACGCCGCGTGCGTGGCCTGGGGGCGGTGACATGGTGGTGCGGGGTGTCCGGGCGACGCGACGCGACGCGCGGGCGGGGGTGGGATGCGATTTGCGCTGTGTGCGCTGTGCGGCGGGGGCGCGGCACGGCGCGGGTGCGTGCGCGCGGACGCTGGTCGAAGACGGGGCGGAGCGCGTCGCGGTGCGGGGATGTGCCGAGTATGGATGTCGCACAGGCCAATGCGGTGGGTTGCATTTGCGCGTGTGCAAAGACGATGGATGGGGAGCATGTCTGATGGTATGCTATGGCAAGTGACCGGCAACGGGTGCGATATTGACATGGCTGCGAGCACGGCGGTTGCCCGGGTGGAGGAGGAAGGGGCGAGCCCCCGGACAGGCCGACAGTTTGCAAGGTGGCCGGTGGCCGTGAGCACTCGAGGACAGCACCAGCCCGGCGAGATGCAGATCCGGCGTGATAGGCTGGCGCAAAAGCGAAAGCTGTGTCGCATCAAATAAGACGTGCAGTTTCCTGGGCTGCACGCCGCCGAGGCAGACGATCGCACCGGGCGTTCTGCTCGCCATCCTCGGGCAAGACACAGCGGCTCGCGGCCTCTTAGGTTCTGCTCTTATCGCGCGCCGGATTTCGGCACCAGGGGTGAATGTGACTTTTAGGATAGGATGGGTGCGCAAGTAATCAATCAATCATGGCTCCCAATGAAAAGGAAAAGGCTTACATGTCCTCCTGAACTCCCTGGAGCGCCATCTGGGAGCCGCTAGGGGTCGTATCTTTTGAGCCCGCGCAAGACGCACAGCCCGGGACATGCCGAAAAATAGGTACTGTAAAGGCCATGAAACACAAGGATCAACAAGCCATCTCTCGTAAATGGAAAATGGAGTGGAGTTCGGGGCCATTACAAGTCTGCACGAGAGGGAAAGGCAGGAAGCCGGCACGCTGTCTCCATTCCAGAGCTCCTTGAGCGGTACCGAGTTGGAAATCAGAACAGAAATGGCACGAGACGCGTGTGTCCTACCCAGGGCAGCTTGTGCCTCAGGCGCACAGGCGCGCGAGTGCATCGTGCAGATTGCGGCCCCGAATGTCCCATTGCTGGCCGGTGTCCATGGCCCGCACCAGCTTGGAGCACCCCATACACGGACGCCTTCTTGTAATCGTGCAGAGGACGCCTTGCTTCGCGCTGGACACAGCCTGCCACCTTTCGGAATTCCTTTTGTGAATGACGGCGGATACACTGTGCACAACAGGCCTACGCGTCACAGGCTGCCTCTTCATACGCCTATAAATTGCACATATGAAAAAAAAATGGACGAGGGGATCGAGAGAAGCTCACATGTACATATGCACATCAACGGCACATGGTTGCGTCCCTGTAGAGCTGGGACAAGGGCGCGTGTGCGTGCGCGTGTGTTTCCTGTGGTGAAAGTATGAAACACAGCCTTTTTTCTTCTGCGCGCAAAGGGCATGTCGCCGAGCCTAGAAATTAGCTTTGACGGGACAGCATGAGCAGTGGCTCACGATTTGCCGCATACTTGTACGGATGATTCAAGCGGACAAGTCGGTTCCAAAAGTAGCACAACACATTCACAAAGATGCTGAGCAATCCGTTTACTGTTCCGGTACCGACTTGTGCGTGTCTGCATTCGTCTCAAATATCTCGGTCTTCAGAATCACTCGTGATATCATCGCGTCCAGCACGTGATCGTTTTTCGGCATCACCTTCACCCTCATGGCGATGGCATGCGGCTGCGAAAAATAGAGTCGAACCAGAACACGATACTGCAGACTGCAGCTTACAGTTGAACCACACGCATATCTCACTCGCGTCGAGTAATCACGGTGAGCTTCCATCATCTCGCGGTGTTTATGAACATCCAGGATAAACATATGGGAATCCACAACTTCGACCGCACCTGGCAGACCCGGTGACAATCTGGTATCCACTGCGACGTCGCCATATAACCACTCAAGTAAAACACGGTATCCGCCGGAGATAAGGCCTGGGCCTGGAGTGACTTTTTTTTTTTCTGATGCTGAAATACTGTTCCCCAGAAAGATCGCCATTCTGTCATACAGATCCGACAGAAGAACCCGCATACGATAGTGCGTGCATGCACGGCCTGCTTCTATGTACTGTATCCAAAGGACGCTCCGCCTGCGAGCCCATCCGCCTGGTTCTACAGTCATCGTGGCAACCAAGCGATCAAGAACAAAGTCGCATCGAGTTGTCGTTGCTCGTCCGACGGCTTGCCACAGACGGCATCCCTTGAACCAGCCTCTGCACAGAAAAAAAGCATCATTCCAAGGTCTAACAGATGATCCACACCCGCTGGATTTTGCGGCCTGGCGTCCCGGCCGCTGGCGAGCCCTGCCAACATCCTGTCTCGTCGCCCCTCACCGCTTCGCACTCACTGCGGACAACGCGCCCTGAACCAGCTTGGTGAGTATGATCATCTCGGGCCCCACTCGCTTCTCTGCACTCACTCGACTTCCACTGCGCCAACAGGCTGGACGGCAGCCGTGAGGGCACCGCCTGCTGCGCAAAGATACTGCAGAGTCCCAGGCTCTGGGCGTCGCTGGCGTCCTTATCCGGGTCGAAGACACCCGCCGCCTCGGCCCTCTTCCACTCGGCCTGCTCATACCGTCTCTGCGCCTGCAGCTTCGTCCACTGTTCTTTGAATATCCGGTCGTTCGCGAGGTCCAGCTCCTGCTCGACGCCCCGCTGCTCCGCGAGCCGGAGCACCTGTGCGCTGCGCTGCAGCGACGTGTGCTCGGGGCTCCGCTGCGCCGCGTCGGCGCCCTCTCCTATGACCTCCGTTGGATGGTGCGTAAGCGGCCGGCCCCGCCTGGACGCAGGCTGGGACTCCCCGACGTCCAGCAGCCGTGCGGCCGCCATCACTGCCGGCAGCTTGTCGTCGAACCAGCGCAAGTGCACGCCCATGCCGCCCTCGGTGACCGTGCACGTCATATGCTCGGCCTCTGCACGCCCGTATGGCTCTACCATCCGCCTCTGGTACTCTAGGATCGCCGTCTCGTGGCGGTTCTGCATGGAACGTATCATGTGTGGGGCTGGGTGAGTCGCGGGGCGCGTGCTCTACGGGGAAAGCCCACTCACGCTGCGCGCGTGTCTCCGCGCTTTGTTTCCGCGTCTGGCCATGGCGATGAGGATCTAAATCTGGAGCGAGGGGGAGAAAGCGGTGGAGGAGGTTGGGTTGGGGGCAGCGTCCGCCGCTCCGCGCGCCGATTTATAGTCCTCCGGCCGCTGGGGACCCCTTGTGCTTTGTCTGTGGCGACCCGTCCACTCCGGGCTTTGGCCACGACAGCCACGGACGGCCCACATGTGGCCAAAGCGTGGCGGCGCCACGCGGAGCCTCGTCGCGCTGGTATGTGTTCTGGACGGGACCGGGAGGGTGTCTTTGTTCTGCGCAGCTCGCCATTGGCCGTATTCGTCGAGGAGATTCGCTGGTTTACCTCGTCGAGAGGTCGCGGTGTGGCGGCCGCGAATGGGCAGCCAGCGGACTCTTTCAGGACACGAAATTGAGGTGTACACAGCTCCGAGTTGTACTATACAGAATGAGTATTGAGGGTGCTTCCGGCGCCAGTTCTCGCGGATCGAGGCTGCGTTGCGTTCTGTGGAAGCCCGTAGTGTGCAACAACAAAGTGGAGACTCTTGAGGGTTGCTCGCCGCCCCAGAAGGACGGTCATAGCGGGCGATCGCTTTGATCGACAGCGCCTCCCCATTTCGTAGACCAAACTCACGGCGTCGAAAAGCGTTAAGAAGGGGGGGCAATCCGCATATCGTGTTGCACCTCCCAAGGCTGGATCCACCACCGGAGTGCTAGCAATCCGCGCGGTCGTAGGCGCGTAGTCGACGACTAGTGCGCGAACGCGAACGAAAGTACTTACCGCCTATGTGACATAGAGCTCGGCCCTCGCGGACAATAAAGGGATTCAAGTAATAATAATAATAACTGATAACTAATGTACATCCACTGGAAGCGCGTCGTAACAAAAACCCTTCGCGCGACTCCGTCGTCCGTCCTAGGGCCTCAGTTCGGCGGCGGTTTATTTGAGATGGCACATGACTATGGCCGACTATTCGTCTCGAGCCCAGAACGCACGGACTGAACCAGATGTATCCGAGAAGACGGAACATGAACGCGCCAAAAATGCCAAGCACGAAGAGTCGGTGCTCGCTAGCGTGGGGACGTGTCCCGACCAAACAGAAGCCTTGGGCACACAGGACCATGCGTTGTAGAAAGTTACTTTGCTCGTCCATACGACAGTGAGAATCGAGGACGCGATGGTAGCTACCGATGCACTCTCCATCGATGCTGACGAGCCTAGTTAAGAATGTGGTAGAGATTAGAGAACGAAGAACTCACCCACGCCCCGGCCTAGCAGTGACCAAGTCTCTTGCGCTGGAAGGACCGCCCCCAAACTGACCACACAAGTTGTAACAGCGCTGCGTAGATCTACGCACACACTGAACGCGCCGTGTGGATTTGATGGTGGGTGATCGTGAACACAGCCCCTGCGAATGCGATCCCGCGCTCCTTGCCCAGGACACGACACGGTCAGCGATGGACCTACGACGAAGTGCGAGGCTGGCTCTGGTCGTATTTGGGCATTGGTCGATCAATATCATTGACTTCCTCGCACTGCCCGCTGCGGTGTCCGTCAGAAGGACTCACTGATGACCCGTCTCGTGGCCCGAGTCGTCTGGCGAGAGGCCGAGTCCAGCATATCGTACCCACACCGTGACTCGAAGCACGCCCATCCGACCATGCCCCCAGTTTTGCGCCTCCTAGTGCCGCCAAAGTGGAAGTTGGACTCCGCTCCGTCGCGTTCTGGCGACGCCAG